AAAAAGCATCCGGTATTTTTGTAACCCTACCTAAAAATTTCAATCTTGAGCATTTTAATTCCAATGCTCACGCGTTCTATACTGATTTACAGAAAGGTATGTTTGCGAAGAGTATGTTTTCAGCTTTCAAAAAAATTATACGTGCAAAAAAAGTTTGTCGAGGAGCAAAGAAGTTATAAGTTTCTGAAAAGATTGCGAACAAACTTTCGAGCCAACCTTACACATATTAATCATTGTAATCAAATGACAAAGTTATCTACTTACGGATGGAATAAAATCAAAACTAACCATTAAGTGGCTTAGAATGATTATTTTTGAAATTATTTTGAATTAAAATATTTCACTGACCGCTTTCGCCGCAGCAACCGCTCTATTCACATCATTCGCATCAGCTTTGGGAACTTTGCAAATGACTGATTCGTCAGTAGGATTGATCGTGTCATATGTCCTGAAGCGAGAACGTTAAAACACTGGGACCATCTTTTCTTTTCTTTTCTTTATGCTACCTTCCGCTTGACGAAGGTTGAAATTTGCCGTCAATGAAGAGCTCATGAGGGAACTTTAACTCCATTCCATTTGCATTGACAATGATCTAGAAAAAGAGCTTTTTTGACGAAGGGACTTTTCAGGACAACTTTTCCGTCAATACATAGCATAGATTGTGAGAAAACTTCTATTTGATAGAGAAGTACTAAAGCCATAAAAATGAATTTTTTTCACTTAGTTTTTCAGTCCTGAATGTATGTATTTCCAACTGAAGATTAAAATTGACTTACAGGATCGTATTCTACAGTAATCTTGTCTCCACCTCTCATCTTTTTTACTACTATCTCACAGTTCTCGCCAAATGTTGAACCCAAGTATATCTAAACCAGATAGATCAGCTTGAATCTATAAGCTCAGGCATTTTGCCCTCACATCTGTGTTTTCCAGTTCAACTTTTGAATGGAATTTGATTTCTTCCACAAGTCGAGTGACATCAGCTGATGTGCCACCAGCCTCAAAGAAGTCTGTATCTGCTTCTACAGTTGTTTTTAGGATGGCTTCCCAGATTTTCTAAATATGAAATGGTTCAATATACGAGATTTGAGCGTATGAAACGGCTATATTAGCATACCTTGACTTCATCCACCACCTTCTGCTCTTCAGGCGAAAACTCCATCTTAACTCCATTTTCCTCAACCACGCCATACTTTTTCGCTGGCATTGTTTTTGTGCCTACTTTTACCGTATCCACATTCACCTAAAGCGCAAATTTGGCATTCAAGCATTTCAAGGCCTTACAATCAGATGTGCTTTACCCATTTTCCATCGCTGCCTGGTAGAAGAAGTCCTTTGTCGTGAACATAGACTTTGCCTCCGGGGACTTCGCTCACTTGAAGTTCTCGAGCTGAAGGAGGTGGGACTGGGGCCCGGTAGAGGGTGCTACCGTACAACGTTACCTTCTCTCCATTGAGAGTAGCCCAGGCGCCGGGTACCTAAATCAACACTGTAGAGCTCATTTGTAAGGAAATAAGAAAAATAAGATGTGGAAGCAAACAAGTTATGAAACAAAAAATCGATGTAATTATGGCAAAGCATCCAGTTGAAGTGCATTGTGACTCTAAGAAGTAGAAGTGAGAAATAAAAACTGTAAAACATATCAAATTGAAATTTGCCGCTCTTCTAGTGTCATGTCTGTCTAAGTTCATTCTAGTTTCCACTTTTTTTGCTTCAACAACGTCTATGGGATTTATTCTATGGGAAAAGTTTTAACGATCGAGTGCGAACTTTCCGCCATGTTTATTTTTCATGACTTCCTCGTTACAAATTCTACTTAGGTTTCTGACAAGTTCATATATTTAGAACTGCCGCAAGAACAGAGGGTAACTTCTAACATAGTAAAATTCCCATGTAACCTACCTTGTCATTTCCACGAATAAAGTTGTGCAGCTGCTGCTGTGTTTTCTTCCAGTCGATTTCAGCCAATTCTGGCTTGGCAGTAATGTAGGGCTCGTACGAAGCTCCTTCAGTGGGTTGAATAATGCGTGGAGCTTTGCCAGCTGCAATCAGCTCTACTGCTTCTGCCTAAACTTATTTGCTTGTTGGTTAGAATAGAATTGAACTATAGTCTGGATTACAGAGTTATAATAAAATAGAGTAGAATTACAGAATTAGAATTATAATTTGTTGTTTATTATAGATTGATTTGATTCATTTTTTGCGCACTTCGCTTGAAGACAGCTATTGGATAATTCTAGTGTAACTTGGCTGTAGATATAAAAATCAAAAATTTTCTTTCTAAAAAAATGAAATCTCGGTTGCGCGCGACTTAGAATTCCAAACGATCAAGATTAACTTTTTAAACTATTGTACTTTATGCCTGCCTACCATCGCATCAACTCCAGCTGGATACAAGAACCTCTTGTACAGCGAGTTCAAGGTATCATTTGGCTCGACTTTGCATTTCTTTTGGAGTAAAATTGGTCCTGTGTCCAGGCCGTCATCGGCCCAAAAAATGGTAAGACCAGCTTCCTTATCGCCGTCTATCAGAGTCCAGTTGATTGCAGATGCACCTCTGGAAAAAAAATTGAACTGCTTTTAGCGTCTGGCCGGAACTAATAGAAATGCAGTCTTGGCACGTTTATACTTTCTGATAAGAAAATGAATGTCGTGACCTACACGAGGAGTTTAGTGAACAGCAGACAAGCAAACCTGTGCTTCGGAAGAATAGATGGATGATAGATGATACTCTTGAACTTTGGAGCCTCAATCACTTCGATTGGAATGAACTGAGTGCAGAATGGCAGCACATTGAGTTCAGCTTTGTAAGAGAGGTAGAGTTTGAGCATGTCCGGCAAGATCTGCGAGAATTATTAGGGGACTGGCGTATACACAGAAATTTTTGAGACATTTACATAAATAATTTCGAATTTTTTGGGTTCCACTTCCGCAAAAAAGTCTTTTTTTAGACCCGGAAGAAAGAGCGCCGAAACGATCTTAATAAGAAGTTTTACCAACTCTTGGCTTAGCATAGAAAAGAGGAGTAGAATGTATTTACTATGCAAGATTATTAGATATTCGTACATGGAAAATGTTCAGGTTTTTGTGAAGAAGAACAATTCCAAAAATGATTCTTTGTGAACAGAAATTGCAGTTGCTTTTTGCATCAACAGTTATATTATAAAAAAGATAAAAAGATATAATATAACTGATTAAATTTTACCTCAAACTTCCCATCTGCAACCTTTTTTCGCCACTTTGGTGGCTTGTGAACGGGAACACCATCCTTGCTTGCTTCCAGAGCTGAGAATAAAATATGATAGAAAGTAAAAAAA